CAAAGCCCTCCCAACTTTGTCCACAGCTTTCCCATAGCAAATGCTACTTTATCCCTCTCTGCTGGACAATGTGACAGCACAGGCACGGGTCACCCAACCTCGCTGGCTGCAATACCTCATCGTACCTGGGATTTCACAGCCGGAAAAGAGCTCGGTCAGGATCACAGCTACGATAATGTGCTGGCTCTGCGGGCCTTTCACCTCTGCTTTGACTCCACAAGGTACTAGTTGACGTGCTTGACTGACTCTCAGAGAGACCGTGTCAGGAGAAAGATAGCCGATGGCCATGTGACCATAGATACTCCCCCGCATGGTTTCCACTGGCCTCAGGGTCTCCTTTACTCCTGCACTTTGTGTCAGACAGGAGTCCTAGAGACCTCAAATGCTGAAGTTTTCAGACATTCTGTGGATCAGTACAAACCTGAGCTTTAGCAGTTACCTTGAAGCATAAAAACAAAAAGGCATTCTCAAAAGCTCATGAGGTTAGGTAATGCTTAACAATAAAATTTAAAGATTATAAAAATAAAAGGGAAATATCCATATTCTACCTGGCATGATTTATACATCTTCTTTTTATAGAATGAAACTAAGTTCCCAATTATAAATATATATATATATGGCAAAATATATATTTATAGAATGAAGGTAAGTTCCCAATTATAAATATATATATACATATATAAATGCATATATATATGTATATATATACATGTGTGTATATGTATATATATGTATATATACACATATATGTATATATATATATACATATATATGTATATATATATGGCAAAAGTAGATAAATAGCAAAGTGTGCATAAATGTTAGCCTGTTTTTTTTAACAAAATCCTAAGGATATCCAGATTGCTTAATATATTACAAATCCTAAATACCTAAAAATTGAGATGAATGGTTTGAAAAATATCACATTTCTACTTATTTCTGTGTTTTCTTTAAATTGCTTGAAGAAGCAGACTCTTTACATAAAAAAAAAAAAACTTGGGACAAAACAAAGACACATGATTAAAATATTGAATACATTTGACCATACTCCTTTGAAAGCATCAAAGCCAAATTCATCTGTTCCACTATTTGTAGCAAATACTATCAGAGCATGTTTGTTTTTTTAAATAATGAGTGTAAGCAATTATATTTATTGCATAAAGGTAGAATTGACAAGATTAACATTAAGAATGTTGTTGAACTTAAACACTTGTAAGACAGTGGCAATATCTACCTTTTGCTACATTTATATGATTTTTAAGTACAAAAGTAAATATACACACACAGACATGCCCTAAAGCTGAGCAATGAGCTGTTTTTCAGGATAGTTTATGAAATGCTTTTATTTTGTTTCTTAAATATAAAAATATATGGTTATAATATAAAAGTACATATTTTGCATATTATAAAATAGGTTTTATATATGAAAAATTGTATGTAATTTAAATTTTATAACGTGGGTTACCTTATATTATCCCTGTTGGATTGTATAATCTGTTTATGCTGTTACACACCAAATGCAGATATCTTACCCAGTGTAAGTTAGCCTGTTTGCTTGAAGGCAGCTCAAAGCAGCCATTTAGAATCTAGAGAAAAAAATAAACTCTCTGAAAGCAAGTTTTAAAATACATTATTTGTGGGGTGCCTGGGTGGCTCAGTCGGTTAAGCGTCTGACTTCGGCTCAGGTCATGATCTCGCAGTTTCTGAGTTCAAACCGCACCTCGGGCTCTGGGCTGACAGCTCAGAGCCTGGATCCTACTTCAGATTCTGTCTCTCTCTCTCTCTCTCTGCTCTTCCCGCACTTGCTCTCTCTCTCTCTCAAAAACAAATAAAGAGTAAAACAGTAAAATAAACAAGTAAAATGCATTATTTGTTCCATGCAGTGAGCAGTTCTATGCCCTGTTTAACCCTACAACTAAGTGTTAGGCAGGAACAAAAGCAGGAACCATGTGATACGGTTTTTTCATATCAACCACATTGATCTGTCCATCTGAAGGGCCCCCAATGCTGTGAAGCTTCAAGAGTCTTCTTAGAAATGTGCACTAATAACAATAAATCCACCTCGATGCCAGCCACACCAGGGGAAGTCTTTTCAAAAGCACTTTCTCCTGGTTGGAGCTCCCTTTTCCATCACTCCCAAACCACAACTGTCTCATCCTCTTCTAAATACTGGTGGGAACACATGTGAAGTCTCTAGCTTTCTTTTTTCTGGTTTGCCTTTGGCTCACGCTGTATCTTTTTAAGATCTAGCTCATTGCTTCCAGGAAGTAGGTTTCTGACACAAATAGAGATGATAAAGAAAGCATTCTACAAATTCCCCATGCGACAGGGCTCTCTCTTAAA